TTCTCGGTCTGTTGCATTTACTCTTGCACTGATACTCTTGGGAAAGACAGGAATCCATCTCTTCTCTCCCTAAATATAGGTTAAATAGGAGAGTAGACTGGCTCTCTAGAATTGATTGGCAACCAGTCAAAAAGATGAAAACTGAATTCAAAACCATGGTGAAGGCAATAGGAAGCTAATCCACTGTCCTTCTCAAGAAGGCACAATTCTTCACAGATATTGATAAGGAATCTATAGAGAACCATGATTACTGATTTCCTGAAAGGACATGGCATTTAAAAAAAAAAATAGTTACAAGACCTGTCATTGTGGACTATTTTTATTAGCTGCTCCAGAACAAAGAAATTTCTTATTCCAAGTTATTTTTGTTTTTTTAATCATGTCAGCCCATGCAAGGCAATAAAGCCACTAAGACACCAGAAGTTACTGAGAATGAGAAAACGAATACATTAAGGAGAGAGAACAATAAAAGAACAGGAATTAAGAAGACAGAAGATAATGATTGATATTGCAATTGAAGATCAGAATGAAAATGATTGGAAAACCAGAAGAAAGTTCCACAAGTGATAAGTTTCAGAGAAGATACTGTTAGCATAAAACTTATGGTTACATCTAGATATTTTAAATGTAAAATGATGAGACCTGGTTGCTTAAACTTGTAAAGTCTAAGCACCAAAGAGGAAACTTCATCAGAACAATTACAATGAAAATTTTCATAGAAAAGGAAGCTATGTTACAAATAAAATTAATTTCATGTTCAGGTTATTTTTCAAAATTGCTTTCTGCAGTTATAATTGTTACTCAAATATGAATGTTTTTAAATACTTTCAATAGATTAAAAAAAAACACTACTGATTACTGTCAAATTCTTTTAAAAATGTTAATTCAGAATATGAGGTTAAAAAATATTGTGTGTGTGTATATATATATATATATATATATATATATATATACACACACACACAATCGCTTACATTATTAGCCACAAGTTTACTGATATATAAAAATATTAATTGGAATCTAAAGGCTTATTTCTGCAGTTAGAATAAAAGCCTGTTCATACTGCACAATGGTAGACAAATGGTAATATTAGCTATTTCCCTATAAGGAAACATTCAGCATTCATTGACCAAGCAATCAATGCTACTTTTGGTTGAAATTTATAAAATCTTTCTATTGGAACAATTTTTCAAGTTGGTTTCTTGCCCAGAATCTGTTACTGGTCTTTCCAGTATTAATGGGAGTTTCCTTTCTCACCATTTATTTGAAGTAGTGTGGGATATCAATATCTTGATTGTCATTATTTTCTCTTCAAGTTACATGTGCATTTTAGTTATTGCCGTTGTTGAAAATTCTAGTTTCTGTTATTTGGTACAGTTTTTTTTTTTTTTTTTTTTTTTTTTTTTTTTGTGATTCTGTAGCATCAGTCCACAAAGTTCAAAGAAGGTTGGTCTTCACTAAGACCTACAGGCCTCATTCACTCAGTCATTTTTCACCATTGATCTTAAGGAGCAGTTGTATACAGCTGACAGTTTAGATATTTCTGAACAGGTTTGGTACCATGCATGACATCGATATGAAAATCTTGATCTGATGGAGGCCATTTGTATGAAATTTCCTGAATTAATAATCATATTACAAGTTTGAAGTTTTAAGATGTATTATGAGGCTGATTTGATGAATAAAGAGAATTGGTTAATCATTCCAGAGCTTGTAAAAGGTAAAACAATGCTGGAAATTGCAAAGATTGTTTGGCAGGTATCACCGAACTGTGCAGAATTTCATTGATCCTGGATAACTGATGCAAGTTTGATAAAGGCAAATTAAGGACTTTTTCTCACTAATTTGTATCCCATATCAAAAGAGTAGTGTTTAAAAAAAATAATGGGTGGGTTTTCATGAAGCTATGACATTTTTAGATGTTATAGCAGTATTGAAAAGCACAAGATGAGGGAAACAGAATACACAAAAACTGATTTTTCAACATTTCTTTTCACTTCTCAAGCAGTTAGCTCAAAGGCCACTAATAGAAAAACTTTCACAGGTAAAGACATCCATAAGGCAGATCTGTTACAATGTTTTTGGAATAGAATTAGATGTTGTAAAGTGGATCCATGTATCTTGAAGGCACATGTAGAGCTGTCATTTAAGAAGCACAACACTTCCAGAAAAAGAGTTTTGTATCTATTAAATATCTGAATTAAAGGGGTTTTAAAGACAATGCCGAAATCTAAATATTTTGTAGGCGTTTTTTTTTTTTCTAGATAATAATGAAACCAGTCTTACTAATTAACCCATAGCTGGAGGGAGAAGAGGTGAAGCAATACCTTTCCAAACGCGATTTGCACAGAAGTGAATATAATGAACCCAACTGGAAGTGGAACTTAGCTCTCTGATTAACAATTACGAGCCATTATTCATTACCTCACCCGCAAATCTAAGCTTACAGCACCTGGTATTACTAAGATACCTATCTCGGTACTGACCAGGCTTGTAGTTGCTTAATTTTAGTGATTTTATGATAACAGGTGTTTCAACATGATGTGGCTGTAAGCCATTAGTGTTTTTTAAGTTTGAGACCACCAAGGTGACTTGGGAGTCACATCTTGAAACTTATAAAATCTGGGAGAATTCATAAAATTATCGATACATCATGATTGACATGGAGTCAACCATTATTTATATATATTGTATGAAATATCCTCCACATTATTAATGCAAATATTTCCATTAATCTCTTCATTTCTTTGTGTAAAATTAGCAAAGATTAAAAATGGCTTATAATGTAAGATGCCGTGTATAAAACAATGAAATACAACACATGCAAAAAAAAAAAACACTTAAAACAAAAGAACAAAAACCAATGAAGTGACATGAAAAAATGTCTGTCAATTTCAGTTGTTGGTTGATAAAGTGAACTAAAATAAAGATTAATAAAATATAAAAACCAATAATATTACAACATTAACACCACAAAACTTGATAATATCCAACTCTTCTTGTCTTTGCTTTTCAGCCTTCATTAGTTACATTGTATGTTGTGACCTTCAAGGGAGTTTTAATTGGAGATGAAACTACAAGTCTTTCTAACCTTGTCAAGCAAATATATCTTTATGTACAAACCAACTTCTCATTTGTGCATGTAGAAAAGCATTCATATATTTTGCATGAATGTTATTGGGACTTTGAAAATACACAGATAAATAAATAGAAATACATTCTCAAATTCCTTCTTCAACTACAATTTCATTAAGTCTAAAAAATACACATAATAGCAGATTTGGTATTGCTTCATGCAAACATAGTAGAAAGCACACCACATAACCTTTTTTAACCAATGGGAACACAGCAGCCATTCTAAGAGCACCTTTTTTCTTTTACTTGTTAACATTGTTGTTATTAAATTGTATTCAAATTTGCATGATGTTTTATTCATTTTAGGCATGCAAAGGATCATTTGCTCTTTTTGTTGATTGCTGTCAACCAAAACATCACTTTCCCTATGCCCCTAAAGGGGATTAGAAGTAACTGCCTTCATTCAGCCATCAACAGCAGCTCATGCAACAATGTATATGTATATCCCCAATAATAAAAGTGATATAATATGAAATATGTCTGCATACAGATGCATGCTAGTTTTCAAGTATGGATGAATCAAGTAAATTTGATTGGAAGAATAGATTACTCCTATGTCAAATTCTCTACTTAAAAACAAAATATTTAACAACTTAAGTTTGAGCAATTTATTGTGATCTTGGGAAAGTGCTTATACAAACAGTAAGTTACATAAAAAAAAAAAAAAAATCTCCATATATACATATTATCTTTGTTATTCAATTTATTGCCTGAGTTAAAAGAATCCAAGACAAAGAAATCCAAGTGCTTAATGTTATAGTTGTTCCTTATTTTTTTTTTTTTTTATTATAAACAAATATTATATATCTACTCACATTATGGCTTTTGATTTTGACGCAAAATTGTGATCATTATACACAAATGCTGCAAACAGTTGACATGCTTGTGACTTAATATTCTTTAAAACAAAAGGGTTTTGATGGCTTGAATGTTATCTGCATTTAATATTAAAACATTTCTGATAGACAAGGGGTTTTTTCAACAAGCACCTAAGGAATATTATAACTTAAGGATTTATTCAAGTTATTGGCAAACATGAACAGCGAAACCTGAACATTTTCAAGTTATTTTGGTTTTTGTATTTTTTTTATCATTTTTGTTTAACTTATTAAAACTTATGACAGATTTAACTTTGAGTTTTTCTTCAAAACTTTACCACTCCCTCCAATGTAAGATTTTTTTTTTTTTTTTTTAATTTTATTTATTTTCCATTTATTTTAAAGTTAATGAGAAAAAATAGTTACTTTCCCAGCTGAGGTTCCTATCACTGTCAGTGTGCAATAAACTGTTTTCACTGCCTTCATGATGATCTACAAATTACCTTGAATAACAATTGAATTCACTGCCAAAACTTTAAAAAATAACACAAAAAATATCACAAAGTTCTGGGAAAAAATATATAGACAATATTTTTTTTCTTTATTGAATTATAACCTGAATTTTAAAAGTCCCTTGTCTGCTTTTTTAACATAAGAAAATAATCATGTTTCTTCAGAAGATATCTTGATAATTTTTTTTTTTTTTTTTTTTGACAATTCTTTAATAGATCCTATCTATGAATAACTCATTATAAACAAATCTTATATAAACATAAGAATCGTTGTTAAAGGTTATCTCCCTTGTTTATTCTCCCTAAAAAGTGATAGAATAAACAATTATATGAAAGATGTTGCTTAAAATTAAAAAGGTGTCTAAAATTTGAAAATAATGAAAATGTATTATATCTAAATAATGTCCAGGTTGCTGTTACAAAAATGAAAGGAAACGGATTGAATGTGAATAAGGGATGACATGTTGGTATTAGGTAATGAAGGGAAGATATATAGCTTTCTTTTCCTTACCCAAAATTAAAATTCGGTCATCTGCTAAACCCTGGAGAAAAAGAAAAAGAAAAAAAATGAAAAAAAGAAAAAAAGAAAAATCAATTGGTTGCCATGATCTTTAGTTTGCGTGTGAACTGTGCAAGAGAGATAACCCAGTCACAAATTCCGTCCTGACACTATAAGTTAATTTTTTTCTTAATTCAAAATGAGAATGCAGTTCTTTTATTAATTGAAATAGTTTTCAAAAAGAATAAAATCATATAATGCAGAAAACTTAACAATTATAACTAATAAAAAGTAATATTTAAATGATGTTCGATCACATTATCTTGTAATGAGGGGAGCTAATTCTCTAAAAACTAGTTATTTTTTATGCTAGTATGGATTATCTCCCCTGAATATAAACTAAATAATTTCGTAATGGAAGATTTAAGTTTTGCGATTATCAATTGTAACTTTTAGATTTTGAGTTCAAGAAAACAGTATAATTTAATACTTTTTTTATTGCGTTAGTCACAAGACAGGAAGATTTAGTAAAATGGATTATTTTTTTCATACTGAATCGGTGAATTGGTTATTGAAACTGCAAAAAGAAAAAGAAAAAATATTTGAGAATCCAAAATTTGAAATGGTGGCTAAGCCATTTTAAAAAGCGAGATTTTTTGTTTTTTTTTTTTTATTGTGCCACCACAAAAAAAAAAAAAAAAATGAAAAATAAATAAAATCAACCAACACCATGACGGAAATTGCCACTAGTGATTGTTTTAGTAAAAGCAGCTGAAGCAGGCGTTAGGTAAGAAAGGATATTAAATGTGAATGGAAGCCATGAAAAAGGTGGTGCCAAAGGGGATGCTAATCTGAAGAATTCATGAAATAAAACATCTTAATGTATATGGACTAAAAATAGTGAAAGTGAATATAAAATATAATTTAATTAATAAATTAACATTTAGGTCTCGTTAAATGTTTACTAATTCCATATTCTTTCAACAACAAAAAAGTATTACTTTCATTGTAGATTTTTAATGTTTTGTGACATTTGAACAAGTTTTTATTTCCTCTCCAAAAATCAGACATAAATTTCCAAACAAACCAAAAGTTTATAATTAAGAGCATTTATTCCCCCATTACTAACAATTATACCTGGAATTATGTGAGTCAATTTTCTTTACATTGTATTGTGCTTTGATGCTGTTTGTTTCTCTAGCTATTCTGCATACTTTTGTATATAAGGAAGCATTCATATATTGTGCATATTGAGACTTCGAAAATACTCAAGTAAGATGTCATTTAAACAAACAATAAACGGATAATAAAATCTTTTCATTCTTCACTCAAAATAAATGTTATCCCCTAGTGTTTGTGCCTATTACCAAAACTATCCCCCAAATTTTAGATTTGCGAAATATACTTTTAAAAATGTCAATATTGCTTACCTGCTCTTATACCTGCTTATTTCCCTTTAATCCTAAGTTGTGATGTAAATGCAGAAAAAGCTTTACTTGAGTAACTAAGATAGGTAATTATAAAACATTTACCTATTTACTAAAGATCACAAAAGACCAAATTAAAAATAAAACATTTTCTATAATTTTTTAAAAGCTGAATATACCAATTAGTGAACATAGCAATCTTTATTTAAAGCTGTGTCATGCATCCCTCGCCTAGAACTGGAGGACTATCTCAAATCTTGTTCCACTGGGAGCAAAGTTTTTTTTTTTTTTCTTTTTTGTTAGTTTCAGCTTGTGTTGGTTGTAGTTCACTGCTGTAGTTGGTTTAAGAAATTTTTATTTTTTACATTTGGAATAACTTTAGCTTATTTAATTAAAGTAAGTATAAAATTTATTTATTTTATTTCCTTTGGACCTGCTACATTATTTTATATTTTCATTGCAAAAACAAATTTCATTAAAAACTTTAATTTTGGAAACCTGGTCCTGTTACTTGAAATTTAACATTTTTCACATAAAGCTAATATTTATTTTATGAATAAAAAAATTCATAGACTAGTGATCAACTTTATTTTTGCGTAATTTGTATTTTGTTTCTAACAGACAAAAAAGTATTTTGAATTTTTACCACGTTCTTGTACCAAAATATAACATTTTAATTTTACTTTGCAGGAATAATTTATTAATCCAATTTTTTCTTGTTTTTATTATAAATGTTAGTTCCTTCCAAGAAAGTTAATTTTAATAATATTTTATGTTTCATTTTTAACAGATTTTTTCTTCCAAATATTTTTTTCTTTGATTCTGTTTTTACACTGCAAAGTTTATTTTAAAATGCTGTCATTTGTTTCATAAAGCTAATTTAATATTTTTCTCTATATTATCATTCATAAGAACTAATATATTGATATTTTGAGTAATTTGCATTTTTCTATCTAAAAAAAGTATTAATTAAAATGTTGAATTTTAGTTTACCATTTAAAAACATAAGAGCAAACGTGATATTTTATTCCACAAAATGAATGAAAAATCATTTCTTAAGAATGTTGTCATGTAAAGTTAATATCATAATTAAATTAATAAATTTAATCTGATATTTTTAGATATTATAGCCAAGTTATACAAAATGTTAAACCTAACCCTGCTGCTATAGCACACATTTTTAAGTCTTAACTTTTCTACTCTAATCATAAAGTATATTTATGACAAAATAAGTCAACATTACTGCAGTTAATTTAATTCTAAACAATAAAATGAAATAAAAGTTATTTGTTTACTTTGTTTCATGTCATTTTTGTACCAGAATTCGTTTCAATATGGCTTTTGTCTGTTTCATACAGTTTTAATGTGGCTAATTAATTTAAAGATTAAAATGAATATAACATTTCATACACCCTTGTTAATGAGGTAGGAAGTGATTAAGCCAAAGCTCTATCATATTATATATTAATTGTAATAAGACCTTAAAAAAGAAATACCAAAATAAAGAGGATTAACTTTTCCAACCAAACTGATCTGTTTTTTCTTTGAATTTCTACAGCAGTGAACTACTTTAAGTCCAAACTGCAACTAAAAATCTTTGGTACACTTGCATGTCTTTTAGTACCGATTAGTATGTCTAGTTACATTTTATTTATATCTCAGCCTATGAACTTTTCAGCCAACCCATGTATGCCAGAGTTTGTTACTTGAAATCAAAAAGGTCCTTCAACTGAGTAGTGTCCCAACATTAAAACCACTTTTGTTTCAATACAGTTTCCCCAAGGAAGACCCTCTCCCCACCTCCCCCTCTAGTTACACATTCCTGCCATAAGCATCTTTGTTGAAAGAATCCAGTATGCTGAATGAAAAGCATTTTGATATTAAATTAAACTTTTCCTTACTTTTAAAGATGCTAACTCCTGAACAAATTTCAATTCCCTTACAGATTTCTGTAACTGATGTCCAGTTTCACGGCACCCACAAGGAGTTCATTTGAACACTAAGCATTCTTTTTACATTCTTATTTATTTGTTTTTATACAAACATTTGAATTCTTTAATGAAACCCTGTAAATATTTTTAAAAAAAACAGGAAAACCTATTTTCTTGTTTAGGCAAGTGATTAATGGAAGGAAACCAGTCACCAGAAAAAAAGGGGGTGCTAGAAGAGGCAAAGTAGGTGGACCTCAAAGATTTTGGCAATAGCCAAACTTACTCCGAGTCAGATGAGATGCTGCCATTATGGGTAATAATTTGAATTTTTGACCTCTCACTACCATTGTCGTCAATGTTCTTAGGTTTAGAGAGAATACCCCCTCCGTGGGGTTTCTGCATGGGTCGTGTGGGTATGGGGGAACCTGTGGGGGTATCCTTAAACGTGACCATGGGCCCTGTAGTTCGGTACTCATTGGCAATGTAGTCACGTTCTCCTGGAGATAAGAGACAAAACGGAATGAAGAAAAAACAAAATAGTTGGATGGTGTAGTGGCTCACTTAGGGGTCAGTTACTGCAATCCAATCTGGACAGTTCTCTCTCTCTCAAAAAAAAAAAAAGAAAGAAAAAAGCATGCTTAACAAGTTTTCATAACAAACACAATAAAAAACCTCTTTACGAAAGAACTGGAAAAAAAATTGTGTGATTCCCTTCATCCTTTAGGATTTAATTGAGCTAAAGTGAAGTTTGTATGGATGTGACTAGACATGTGCACAAAGGAGAGGGGATGCTGAAATTTAAAAAAATTTTTTCTTATATATTAAATTTTTTTATATATTAAAATTGTTCTTGATATAAAAATGTATATATCATTTCCCCAATAAAAAACATAAAACATGCATTTACAAGTATAATTATTTCATAACAATTTAAACAACTAAAAGAAAAAAATTGAATGTTGTTTGGAGTTAGAATTAAAGCCCAACATATCAGCGATTCTAATATTGTTGGGTGTGCAAATTTAATTACAATTATTTCATAGAGCTGGGTGATTTTAGCAGTCCTTGTATATATGCACACACACTAATATATATATATATATATATATATATATATATAATAAAACAATGTATTGGTAAAGTTTGCAAATCCAACACTACCAACAAAAAGCCTAGCAAATGAAAAAAAAAAAATTGAAACAACAAAAGAAAAAAAGGAAGACAGATGCCTACGTACACAATAACCCAAAGTCCCCAATGTCTAAATCAAGTTGACTAAGACAGAGCAGCAATCCTACAATCATAACCAACAACACTCCACAAAAGACACTCAGTTCAAATTATTATATGATCATCAAGTCACAAACTCAGAGTAGCATTTTTGACTGAGTCTCTTTTGTGTGGTGTTTTTGGTTAGGGTACACACACACATTCACATTATACATCTATGGAGGGTTGCAACCCCAAATTCTGACCAAACATCAAAATTGGGTGGGGGGGGAGATGGGATTTTTTTTTTTAAAACTAATGTTCACCCAATGCAAGGCCCAAGAGCCGCACAAAGAGGGTTACTGTGTGGAGTTATATTAGCATAGGTAAGGACAAGCATTGAAAATATAGAGCTGAAGTAGACTTCAGAAGGAACTAGAAAGCCAATCTTAAACAGGAAATAAGAGATAAACTTCTACTCTTGTGTAAAAACTGGGGAGTTGTGTGAAGTGGACAATAGGTGAACCTATCTACTCTTTTGTTGGTTGAAACAAGAAGTTTTCAGTAGCCACTAGTATAATTTGTCATAAATACAGATTTATTTTGTCATCCAGAATGTTTTTTTTTTTCTTTAGAATTATTACATTCACAGGATTTCTAATCAAACTGTAAGTGTAAGCGTTCTGAAAGCAAAGGAAGTATTTGTTGCAGATTACTTCCACAACACAAAGAAAAATCACCGTAAGTACAGACTCAAATATCGGGGACAGAAAGAAATGCTGAAAACTCGATTCGCCAGTACTATCTCGAATCACTATGCGTGTAACCAGTCAGGAAAATAACTCACTCTCTAACAAATGCTGAAGCCAAAAATGCCTGAATTTCCCTTCCCCAAATCGAGAACACCAACTGCTTTTATTGGCAGAACCTATTTTTTTAATTCGTCAACAGCTGGATACGATGCTCCGTAATTTAGCGACTCCTGCGATGGATTTGTTTCTTTTTTTTTCATCACAGAATACACGTGACGCGCTGTCGCTTGGTTTGACGAGGTAAGTTGCCGTTTTCTTCGCTATAAGATTTTTGCTGACTACTAATCCTTCTTCGGCAGATCGCACACAAAACACAAACTTTTTTCCGGGGTACCTGATTATCTCTTTCACTACACTCCCCCCTGTCACATAAGTGACACTCATGGGCGGGCCTCTTTATTCTTAAGCTTCTCCGGAGCGGGGCGACTGTTGGAGGAGATTGTGTGTTATGTTCTGAGGATTCTTCTGGTCTGACAACCTCATGCGCAGAGTCTTCATCATCTGAAGAATGTTCTGAGGATTCTTCTGGTCTGACAACCTCACACACAGTCTTCGCCATCTGAAGAGGTGCTAGCCCTACCTCCGATGGTAATTATTTGTTCACTTTCTGAGCACTCACTGCTAGTGTCACGTTGACGTATCTGTACCTACATAGCGACACAAGTCCTTTATGTGTCTTGGTATGCCATCAACCAGCACAGAGCGTGAGTTACTTAGTTCAGTGACATGCCCCACCCGGTACCGAGTTGTACACCGGCTATGTGGAGCTTTTACCCACACGCGATAGCCCAAGTCATACGGCGCACATTCTTTTATCCGTTCAGTTGAACGCGTTGTGTCAATGCCTCGTAGCCGGACTTTGTACTGATAAATCATGTTGGCTGGCGCAGTTGAGGGCGATACATTATTGTCTCTCGGAGTAATATTGTACCAATACACCGCCTCCATTATGGAACACTGCTTCCTAGCAGCGATTCTTTTGATGCTCTGATGACATCGCTCGATTATGCCATTTCCTGATGGGACATACGCACAGCGAAATCTGAGGTGTACTCCCCACGAATCCACAAAAGCTTTGAATAGTCCACTGCGGAATGCAGTGTCGTTGTCAGTGAGGAGTTCCGTCGGAGGTCCACGTTCAAAGAACAATGACCCCAAGTGGTCAATGACGCTTGCGGAATCCTGTCGACGCAGACGCCGCCAAATAATGAACCGGGTTGGGCCACAGTCAATCAGGGTTAAATAGTGATATCCGTTATAATGGGTGGTGTCCATTCCAACACGGTGCCACACCTTGCTTACACTCACTTGTCCTTTTGCCATTGCACAGGTGCTGGGTCGATGGACTGACACTCCTTGCATCCTCTGATCACTGCCCTGACAGCAGCTTTGGATACGGAGGGATAAATCTGCCTCCACGAAATATAGGGTCCGTTTTACACGGGATGTCCGCTTTGGCAATGCACAGATTTTAGTAAATCTGAGTTATGGTTGCTCGCTGATGTTACACAGACATGTCCTACCGGCTCTACCTCTTTCTTAATAGCGTCAAGCCATTTTTGGGGTACCCTTGTTAAAGTATCGGCCTTGTTCTGATGTGATCTGACCAGCTGTATGTCTACGGATAAGTGGTATTCACTTACTAACTTTCCCAATGTGTCTAGCCGCCTACGAATGAGCATCTCGCTTGCAGCCTTCTCCGTAAGAGTGTCTGCTATCCACTTATACACGCATGCGGAATCCATGAATAAATGCAACACCTTTGCATTCCATTGAAGGGCCGCAGTGACTCCCCTGATAACGGCGTCTAATTGTGACAGGTTGATATGTTGCATATCCTTCTCGGGACGCAACCAACACTCACCTTCCACGACAGTTTCACCTACTTCAAGAGACACTCCTGTTGCAAGTGAGCTCGCGTCGATCCAGACGTTAAATTCACATCCGTCAACGCACCATTTACCATGTACGGGGTCGTCTTGACGCACCCTAGTAATGACTTCCGCTATCATGTGTCTAAGGGGAGCATCATTTGTTGCGTCATCCCAGCCGGAAGTGACAGCAGTCACCCTACATTTAATAAATGCAGTTGCAATGCGGATCCACTGGCCTACGGGAAAATGTCCTACCAGCTTTCCACATAACAAAAACACGCTGCGTCGTGTCATGTGTCTGGGAATGTCAGAGAGCTCGCTTCCAGTAAAGCATGTTGTGCTCCCCCCAGACCTGCAAGCCGAGCACATGAGCACCATCCTCCAGTCGTTCTGGGTTCTTACATTCGAGCCCAAAGTCAGCAAGATGCTTTCTCACCTGTGCAGCGGGTACTAAGGTTTCGTTGATGTAGATGTCGTCAATGTAAGCTGACGTCGCTTGACGAATTGTCTCATCCTGGGATAGCAGAGCATCCACGATGGCTTTCATGATGGCCGGTACTACATTGAGTCCGAATCCCATTCGGATTAAGCAGTATCTCGTCCCATTAAGGATCACCGTCTGAAATGGCCACAGTGACCGGTGCTTGCGTACCTGCAAGTAGGCCTTTCGAAAGTCAATCACAGAGACATTGGATCCCTTTGTTCGCCATTCTCCCAATTTTTGTGCACACACATCAGCATGAGCTGTGTATGTGTCTACATGTTCGTTCAGTTCTCTATAATCTAGTACAGGGCGCACCTTTCCCTTGTTCTTTTGTACCACGGCCATCAATGGGATGAGGCCACTTGGAGGACCAAGCTCTTCCTCGGGATACGGAGTCAGCCATCCATTATCCAGCCACACCTGCAATTTGCGCTGGTATTCTTCCTTGCCGCGTTCGGGTACCGAATATTCTGACACTCGGTTCTGGAGCTTTTCTGGTGGGTTATTTTCCGACCATTTCCCAAATGCTGTCCATGTCTTCATCCTTTGGTCGAACTCTGTGCTAAAGTCGGGCTCGTTGATCTTCAAAGTAGCACAGATGGGTGGATCAGAAAACTTGACTTCACCCGCCTCTGTAATGCATATGCCACCCAGCTCCTTAATAATGTCCATTCCAAGGAGCAGATCGAAACCTAATAACGTGCTGTCCACGACCAACACACTGACTGTCACGGGGTCACCGTTGTTGATACTGAGTTTGATGTTTCCAACTCCCCGGCTTCTGAGAGCCTTTCCATCAGCCGTTAGTACGTTCATCTTTTGTCTGCTCCACTGTCGACAAATCAAACCCTTCGTGAGTGACCGAGAGCAGCCTGAATCTATTAAAGTGGTACGCGTTATTCCATTGATGTGCACCTTAATCACAGGGAGCGCCTCTTTCCTGCTTGGTTTGGGGAAGAGACCGGCGCTGACGTCGCTTCCCCCCCCCCATTCCATTTCCCAGACACTTTGACGCAATATGACCTACTTTATGACATTGGAAGCATTGTAGATCGAGACGTGTCTTTCGCGCCGACCCGCTGCGCATTTCTTTGCGTTGATAGCGGCAGTCTTTGGCA